CTCTTTGATCTGCAGGTCACCAAATCCCTTTTCTACACTGCCTCCACCTTGGAGATAGATCATCAGCTCAGGATATGGAAGCACTTTATAAAATTCGGAGTTGTCTGAAAATGGACTGGTTGATTTGGTAAGCAATTGGTTTCCCCTCAGAAGAACTCACACACAGCCGAGGGTACCAGAGGGAGAGCCGTCTATGGCTGGTTGTAAGGATCAGTCTAACATTAATGATGGTCTCCGTGCCTGGCTATTCTCATCAATTCAAGAGGAAAATGCTAATAATGATAGAAAAGTTTTGGCTAAATTTAGAAAATGGCATATTCTTTGCAAGGGTCAAATGTATCTCTCCCCCCACTCCACCCCTACTCCCCCTCCCAGCAGGCCAAATTAATTATTCTCTGAGAGATTTACTTAAAAATTAAAATTAGTTAGCATTTTGCCTTCACTATATTTTCAAGCTTTGAGCAATTAACAACCAGGCCCCAATTCACCATTTGGGGAAATTAAGGAACAGTGACAAGATGACTCTCTATAGACGAGGGAAGAAAACCCCTGGTATTGATCTCTCAGGACTTAAACAGTAACTGCAATTGTATTCCTTGAACACTAACTTACCAAGTTCCTGCGCTAACCCCCACCCTCACCCCATAGTTAATTAGCTGGGCAGGTCTTATAACAAATACCCACTCAGAAGCGCTGGGTGGTAGAAATGCTGTTGATAATTAAACACCACAATAGCACGGGGCCTGTTTCAGGAGCCTCTCGGTTGTCTTGCCCCCTCCGATCTGCTCCCCGCATTCCCACAGACCCTCCATTGTGCTGGCTCTCGCTTCTCACAGGGACAGTGGCTTGGCTGGAGAAGGGACTTCTGGTAATAAGAGAGAGGAGCCCAAGCCTTGCAAAGAGATCAGGAGGGCTGGACTCCAGAGGAAAATATCCAGTGGATGGAAGTGGGACGGGACTGGACCCAAGAAAAAGAGAGGAGGGTGGGTCGGAAAATCAATCAGAAAGAGACAGAGCTTTTCTCCAATAAATCAAAAGGTTCCGTGTTAAGAAAATCCTGGCTGGCTATTATTCCAGCGCTCTCCTCTCGAAGTCACCAAACGCATAAACAGCTGGAGAATTCGGGTCCTCGCATTAGCTCTTTGGTCACGTCCCCACCACAGAACCATCCAGAAGGAGTCCGCCAGTCTCCTACCAAAGAGACAGCAGTTAGCAATGTGTCCTCTGTCTATCGCAGGCCGATTTCTGTGTCATTTTTGTCTAGAGGGTTTAAAGGCTTTGCAGTAAAATCTTGGCTACATCTCGTCACTTATCCAAGGTTCCTCCGAGGAAAGGGATTGAAAAGGTTCCCATCCTGGGATCACAACGATAGAAATGGGGCACTCGGAACAGTGGCCAAGGTTCTGAGAGGCCTAAGCTCTCACACCATTACAAAAGACAGAGCGTTGATTTGCTTTTGCTAAAAATACATCAGCCCACGTTGGTACATAGACTATCTCATACTGAAAAACTGCTTGTATTGGCAGGGATATAGGTCATTGGCATTGTAGAGAAAGTTGTTTCTCAGTTACCTCCTTTGATTTCTTTAACGAAATTCTTTAAAAGAGAATATTTTAGTGAGCAAGGTAAAATCTATATAGGTTTTTAAATATCCCTAAAATCTGCTTGGTAAAAATGATAGGAAGCCACTGGCTCAGGGAAAGTCTCTCAACTTGTCCTTGTAACCACCTCAAACGACAGAGGCGAAGCATGAGCGAGCACTAGCTCAGGAAGAACCTAGGGACCTGCCCCTGCGTCAAGATCATGGAAGGAGAGGTTTCTACGAAATTCTTCGTTTAAATCTTCAACTTCTGGCCTCATTTTCACACTCCTCCCTAATAAGTGTTTGTTTTAGTTTCGACATGATGACCTTGCACCCAGGTGTGCACATAAAATGCAACCTGACAGAAAGCCAAAGACAGACAGACAGATCCAAAGGAGAGCTTCCGGACTGCCTGTTGCACCTCCACCACCATATTACCTGGGCCTTGAGGGACTCCGATTGAAGAAGCACTCTACCTGATCTGGATGTTTTTCACTCTGGATGATCTGGCTATAAAATCCTGCATGTATGTCTTCCTTGTAAGTGTCTGAAGAAAGCACAGCCCTTTATCTGGAAGATAGAGAATGACTTGGCCGCTGCAGCTCAAACAGAGTCAAGTCTAAACCCAGGCTAAAAGGGAGCGCGGAGGGCAGACACAAATGTGTTGTGCTCAGGGAAAGTGGGGAAAATGTCAGGGAGCGCCCAGCAGAGGGAAGGAGAAGCTGTCCATCTGAAATGCCACCTGGAATTCGCACCAGTAATAACTTTGGTGGATATAAAAATTAATAGGAGGGGATTTCATAGTATTAGAAAAATTTATTTTTATAAATCATGTGTCCATCACCCAAGTGTTGACGCACACATGCAATTCAAACATTAGGCTTACAATAAAAGCCCACTGAATGACTGAGCCAGGACAATTCCCCTATTTTCTCTATAATTTGGAGTGGAAGGAGGAGGGAGGGGGAGTGGGCAGAGGGTGCAGTTACTGGGTCAATTAATCACCCTGAAAACTCTGACACAAACTCTGACGCCTAGCCTATGTCTAAAAATACACAAATGTATACGAATTTGTTTTAAACTGTCAATGCCTATATTTAGGACCTTCCCAGCAAGGCCATAATGAGACTGTGTTTGAGGGTTTCAGTCCTAGCAGACTCTACCATTAATCTGAAGTTAGTTAAATTAACAGCATTTAGTACTGACTTGTCAATCTTGCTGCTCCAGGAAATTGCACCTTGAGGCTACTAATATTGCCAATTTTTCCACTGGAGTGTGCGCCCGCGTGTGTGTGTGTGTGTGTGTGTGTGTGTGTGTGTATTTTTTCTCTCTCTGCAAAACCTCCGTGTTCAGACCCCATCCTTGCTTCCCTGTGTCCACAGCACTTATATTATCATTTATTCTGGACTCCTTTAGCCTTCCCGGGGGGGTTTTGCATCGTGTAGCTGCTCAGTGAAAGAGTTTTTTAGCTTTCTATTTATTTGTTTATTTTTCTGTCACGGCTCATGACTGAGGTTTAAAAAAAACACGTGTGACAGTATTTAGAGTCCGTGATTGACGACCGCGGCAGCAGTCATTAACCATGACACATCTACAGCAAAACACAGTCCCGAGTGTTCTCGACGGCAGCTCTCCGAAGAAAGAGAGAGAAAAAGGCTCAACTGATTTTTCATTGACCTCATCGGTAAATAAATTTAGACGGATAGTGAGCTGGGGTCATAATAAATTAGGACTCATTTCCTGTAATTAACGCAAACATGCCTAAGAACACAGAGCAAATGAATGTAGAACCACCTGATTTCCATTTCAAAATGCACCTAGCACATTTTCACTGGCGTTATTCTTCACAATATTTTCCTCCTTAATTAGAAGAATGAAATTGTGTTGGATTCTCCACCCACCTTCCCGCCCATCAGGGGAAATATTGTTCTGGTCGCAGAGAGCATCTTACACGCTTACAACAGATCTGCAGAAGCTGATCCAGCTTCGCCTCCTTACCTGTGTGTCTCTGCCCGACGCTCACGCCACAGCGGCCTTCTCTGGTTTGTCACTGACCTGCAGTCGGTCCACCAAAGGGGCCAGGTGACCAGACCTGGGTCCCCTGGGGCTGAGAAGGCCTGAGAAAGCAGCCTGCACCTAACAAAATGTTCTCTACTCGTTAATGAATATTCAAGAACCCTGTTGGTGCAGGGATTAAGTGCTCAGCTGCCGCCCCAAAAGTCAGCAGTCCAAACCCACCGGTTGCTCTGCTCCTCGGTGCTCAGCTTTGCAGGAGAAAGAGAAGGCCGTCGCTCCGTACAGCTGGCGGCCTTGGAAATCCCTGGGGCAGTGCTTACCTGTCCTCTAAGCTTGATCGAACTTGGAATCAGCCTGCTGAGGATGGGTTTGGGGGTGTTTTGGGCTCCTATTCACTCACATACCACGTGGCTTGGGTAAGCAACGTGGTATACAGAGAATAAGCACTCTCACCTATGGGGTCAAATATTTTTTAACAAAAACAAGCTCTTTGACCTCTCTTAGTAAGAACAAGTATAACTACCTCCTTGGGTGTCAGCATCTCTGAGGATCTTCCAGCGAGATAAGTGCACATCGGAGCACCCTCTACAGCAGCGGTCCTCAAACCACGGCCCGCGGGCCACCTGTGGCCCGCCGAGGACATTTCTCCGGCCCGCCAGGTGTTTTTGCCCCATTTGTTTTTTTACCTCAAAATAAGATATGTGCAGTGTGCATAGGAATTTGTTCATAGTTTTTTTTTAAACTATAGTCTGGCCCTCCAACGGGTCTGAGGGACAGTGAACTAGCCCCCTGTTTAAAAAGTTTGAGGACCCCTGCTCTTCAGCATCCAGTCACACCCAGGCCGTTCAGCGATCAGAAGCACTGACAACAATCACAAAAGTATGTCCCTGTGACACACGTACAAAAATGCCGATGAACTCGGAAGAATGTGCTAAAAGCCGAATCAGGTTCTGTAACAGTGAATGACCATGACTAAGCTATGTGGGCAGAGGACAGCCTGTGCTATGGACACCTTTTCCCCGGCCTTCCTTGCCCAGAAGAGCTTTTCCTGCCAAGTAATGGTCCCTCTAAAGTCCCAGAGACAACAAGGTACAACCTGAATTGGAAGTGATCCTCTGGAGCCCTTGACGGTGGTGTTCTAACTACCAGGGTGCGTCAGCTATGTGAGGGCGGGTATGCAAAGGGGGCCAGCGCATGATGGGAGTCTCTGTATTTGATGAGCGCACCCCTGACTCAAATCGTAAACGTCACTGAGTAGACGTGATGACGGTCAGAGAGTTCATAGCAAAGGCAGATCTCATTTTCTTTCCCCTTCACAGCTGAGAAAACCCACGGCTGCTCTGCCTGGAAACAGCAGGTCTCCATACGCAAGGTGGTCACCCCGACTCTTTCCTTTATTTAGTTGTCAGCCTGGAAAGCCGAGCACTACACCTCAACACTCTGGTCCAGGAAGCCCAGGAGAGGGTGAGCGAACTGTCTGCCCAGGTGGAGAATGAAGGGTTCAGTTTGGACAACACGGAGAAAGAGAAGCAGCTGAAAGCCTGGGAGTGGAGGTACCGGCTCTACCGACGCATGAAAACGGGCTTCGAGCATGCCAGTGAGTATCAGCAGAGGGTTTGTGCGTTTCACCAGCCTGAGCCTTCCTGTGCTGCTTTCTGCAGCCCTCCCAGGTCATGGGTAGCCGTTGTGCGCCCATGTGGAGCTAGGGCTCTGGGCGTCTGTAAATGGATCCTTTGTCTTGCTTGGTTTTCTGGCTCCCGAAAAGTTCTCTGACCACAGCCATGAAGCTTCGGTGCTGCTGGTCTCTCCACCACATCACACTCCTCCAGCACGTTCCACCCGCGATGCCTTGCTGCCTAATGGCCTGGGCAGTCTGATGCCTAAGGGGCTGTATTTTGAGATGTAGAGATGGGAAAATATTTATTTGCCTAGTTGTCCAGTTTCTGCTTCAGGCTCAAGTTTTCAACTCTCTGCTGCTATATATATATTTATCTGGCTATACACTGACCTTTCCTTAACACAGGCAACAGAGAGGGACAGTTCATTGAATCCTGAATTATGCTTTTGTCTGCCCATCCATTCTCCTTACCCACAGCTTCTGTGAGTTTAAGGAAAGTGTTCTTTCTGGATCATACTGCTTCGTGTGTGTAACCCCTGATGTTACAAAAGAAAACATAAAATCCCAACACTTGTGAAATACTAGACGGATTTTAAAAGGAGGTCTCAGCTAAACAACATAAAACATTACACATGACATTTCCAACTCATGGGAAAGCCCAGTTCATTCGTTGAGAAATTGTTCCCCTCTGATGTCGTAACCCGGAGTGGTGACATAGACAAAGACCAAAGGGCAGTATAAACGTCTGTTTTAGTACCGAGTACTGCACACTAAGTACCAAATCTAGGCACAATCCTTTCTCTGGAAGCGCATGACTTCAGCCTCATTAATGAAGAAGGCTTTCAACGCTGTCTTTTTCTTCGGCCATAGATTTGTGTCCTGACAGTCAGTAGCTGTTTCCATGAGCAGATTTGCCATTGTGCCTCGTTTAGGACATACTAATCCTACTTGGGAAGGTGTTCCGAGGCTCTGTTGTTAAATGTCTAGATGACAAAGCACCTCCTGGATGCGAGGGGGCACCTGGAACCACGAGCCTGGAGGTGCTGGGAGCCTCACATGCACTCGCCCCTTCTCTCTCAGGAGGCACTGCCCAGGGTAACGGGCAGAGCGCGCTCCAGGCGTGTCAGCCTCTGTCCCAGAAGGAACCAGAAGTAGACGTTCAAACCACGAGCTTCCATCCTAGCGCCTGGGATCGCCGCTGTGTCCTGGAACCAGTCACTTGGGTTCTTGAAGCTGCAGCTTCCTGATCCTAAAAGCGGAAGTACTCTCACTTGTGCTTTCTACACGCCCGCCCCCCCACACACACACAGAGTTGTGAAAAGGCTCAAATGAGATGATTCACAAAGTTATTCTTTCTGACAGGTGAAGGTCTCCATTCACCATGTCTGCTCTTCCAGCCCAGACCCACACTCCTACTCTGTTGCCAGGATATTGGGGCAAGTCTTTCACAGTTGCTAGTGACTCCCTCCGAAGATGTTCTCCTACCCAAATCAGACCACCACAGTGACGAATAAAAGCCTGCAAGACGTCCCACAGAAATGTTCAGACTCTACCAACACGAGCTTCCATACTGCGTGCCCCAGAGCGTGTCCGTCGAAGAGGCAGGAGCATCATTTGAAAGGGGTTCACGATCCGGTTAAGATCCTTGTCTCTTTCCTCTTGTCCAGGGGCTCCTGAGGTGCCAGCCAATGTCTGTCTCCTGGTAACCAGCAGCACGTCACTCACTGTCACCTTCCAGGAGCCTCTGAGTGTCAACGCAGCTGTAGTGACCAGATACAAAGGTACTGGGCTCTCGGGCTTGTCATGATTATTATGTCATTGCTCCTTCTTTTAAATGAACCTGTGATTTGTGAATCGGTTGTGCATTCTGTTTGTGTGTCGTCTGCTGATGGTTTCTTCATCCCATTCCCTTTGGGGCTCCAAAGAATTTCCATCAGCACACCTTATATAAAGGAGCAGTCGATGAGTGAGGGTCCCTCACAGAAAGGATGAACCCCAAGAGTGGGCTGTGCATTGGCCTATGGTTAGGGATGGAACTCACTAGATGCAATGAAGAACCAGACTTGATCCAAGGAGGCTCAGACATGAGACCTAATGGGGCATGGGGCACAGAAATCTATAAAACCAGATACATAGGGGCTAAAAATACATCGTGAATGAAAATAAAGACAGGTGAGCAGGCACAGTATATGGAGGTCAGAGAAGAACCTGGTTTGCTATGGTGGAGGAATCCGTACAGTCCCCAAGATGAAGGGAGCATTTGGCTCTGATGTGGAAGGGTGGCACGGAATTGGCCCCGAAGCTATTGGGGAAGAGACACTTCCAGTAAGCACAGGTACAAAAGCAAGGCGGGGGGCGGGGGGTGGGGGGAAGCAAGAAAATACCAGAACAAGTGGAGAAAAAAGAATGGATTGTGTAGAAGGAGCCGATAATAGCTTGACTCCACAGGTGAGAGGATACAGTGAATGATCTGCTTCGAGTGCCACTGAGGTCAGAAGAAGGAGGCGGGATGGAGCTTGAAGTCAAGGTGAAGGATGAAGCCTACAGAACCAGGGAGCCAAGAAGGGACAAGATCAGCGGTTACGGCAGTAGTGCTGCATACGATGGGCTGGAAGAGAGAGCAAGTCAGAGCCGGAGGTTGCTCGGAAGAGAGCGGGCAGCAGCCAGCCTGGCTAGGGGAGCAGCACTGGCCAACAAGAAGCCTAAAGAAGCAGGATCCCAAACAAAACCACCCTTACTGCCATCCAGTCGGCTGGGACTCACAGGGGCCCTCTAGGACAGGGTGCCAACACCCCTGTAGCTCTCCAGCATGTGACTGTGTACGGGAAGAGAACGTCTCATCTGTCTCCCACAGAGCCGCTGGTGGTTTTGAACTGCTGACCTGGTGGTTTTCAGATCAGTGGGTAGCCCACCGCACCACCATGAGAAGGAGAGTGCAGAACTATTAGAAGGTCTCCTACTGCTGTCGAGTCCTTTCTGCCTGACGGTGACCCTGTAGGACACAGTAGAACTCCCTCCTCATGCTTCCAAAGCGATAACCGTTAAGGAAGTAAGCAGACTGGTATGTGGGTCTCCTGCAGAGTGGCTGGTGGGGTCAAACAGCCAACCTTTTGGTTAGCAACTGAGCATTGAACCACGTCACCACCCCCACTCCTCAGGACAACCACACGCAATGTTAATGTGTGCTCCAGGCACTGCGCAAAGCCTTTGTCTGTATTCACTCAGTTTAATCCTTACAGCCCTGTGAAATCGGTCCTATTAAGAATACCACTTTGCAGGTGAGAAAATGAAGAAATAGAGGTTAACAAACACCCCTAAAGCCTCATAGGAGAGCCAGCAGTTTATCACATGATAGTTGGCTCGAGTGGAAAGAACAATATAATTATCCCGATTCATAAGTATCTATGCACATATGTCCCCCAAAGTCCCAAAATCTGATTATTCTCACTGTATAGATTTCAAGATGCCAGGGCACAAGGCACAATTTCTGAGTGCAGACCAGCTTTGCTCCTTGTTCATGCAAAAATATGCAAGGAATGCATGTGACTTTCTTCTTCTTACCCAGAGTCTGCTCCCAGGAGAGCCTCTGCCTCTGCAGATCACACCCAAACAACTCTGCTCTGTTTGGTGCCACCACACCTAAGACAGCTTCGCGCTGGTTGTCACCTTGAGTTTGGCATATCAGTCTAAGACAAGGCAGCCTTCAGGTCCTAGAGAAACAGGACCACGTAGGATGACCTCCCACAGCCTCCCCGTGAGACAGTTCCCAGCCTTTGACTAGGCCAGCGGTTCTCAACCTGTGGGTTGCGACCCCTTTGGGGGTCGAACGACCCTTTCACAGGGGTCGCCTAAGACCATTGGAAAACACATAAATATTTCACAATATATAATTACATATTGTTTTGTGATTAATCACTATGCTTTAAGTATGCTTGATGATGTTCAATTTGTAACTATGAAACTACATCCTGCATATCAGATATCTACCTGATGATTCATAACAGTAGCAAAATTATAGTGATGAAGTAGCAATGAAAATTTTATGGTTGGGGGGGTCATCACAACATGAGGAGCTGTATGAAAGGGTGGCGGCATGAGGAAGGCTGGTGGTCTCACTCGCTGGAGCAAGTGCTTGCAGCCAACATCACACATCCCTCTTCCCACCTCTGTCCAGCTCCAGGGTGTGGGGCTTGCCATCCAACATGGCCTCTCCTTCTCAGGAGCTAATTTGTCCAGACTGCCAGCTCTGAAACGCTTGAAACCCGAAGGCCAGCAAATTCCATCAGTGTTTGCATATTGACGCCTCCGAGACGGGTCTGGCGCATAGCAACCACATGTACAACAGTCCCGCACCATTCTCACAAGTGTTGTCACGTATGAGCCCAGCCACGTATGAGTGTTGCAGCCACTGCCCTTCCGCTTTACCAAGCATAATGGATTTTTCCGGGTCTGCTCTCTCCTGGTAGCCTCTCTAACGTACATGAGAGATGTCTTGCCGTCTTTCCTTCTAAGGAGCATCTGGCTGTACTTCCTCCAAGACAGGTGTCTCTTCTTGTAGCAGTCCGCGGTACTGCCAATCTCCTTCACCAGCACCATCGTTCACGTGCATAGATTCTGCTTCAGTGTCCGGGAGGTGACAGGAAACACCATCGCCTGGGTCAGGTGCACCTTGGTCCTCAGAGTAACACATCCATGGATGTGTTTCAACACCTTAAGAGTTCTTGACCTTGTTATTTTCAAAACATTGCAGCGTCACTGCCATTCATGGATGTGGGCATTACAGGCAGCACCTGGTGCAGGGCTATCCGCCTCCAGCTATTCTTCCCACCTTGTTACCTGACGGATTCAAAACTGCCACCCCGATTCTTACCTACGCCACTCAAACCTCAGTGCTATCCAGTTGCTCCCATCTCATAGTGACCATAGATGACAGAGTAGAAATGCCCTTGTGGGTTTTGCAGGCTGGGACTCTTTATGGAAGTAGAAAAATCTCTTTTTTCTCCCACAGAGAGTTGGTGATTTCAAACTGCTGACCTTGGGTCTGTGGCCCAATGCGTAGCCCACTGTGCCGCTGGCGTTCAGAGACTCATAATAGAGGATTTTTTTTCCTAGGAATACAAAAGAGAAGTGGAAGAGTCCATTTTTACACCGGCATACACTGTAAGGGAGCGCCCATTGCCTCTGCAGACATCCTACAGTAACTTTCTAGACTATTGTAACACCCTGTAGGGCTAGTCCCGCCTCATGACAATATGTCCCCAACTGTGCTCTTCACACACATTTTCTCTTCCAAATGAATTTTACAATTGGCTCATCAAGTTTTAAACTCTTATTGGGTGGACTTCTTATACCAAAGTTAGTTTGAGGCCATGACCCATCCATGGAAGTCCCTGGGGAGTGTAAATGGTTAATGAACTTGACTAACTGGTTATAGATGTGAGTCCACCCAGGGGTCACTTGGAAGAAAGGGCTGGTGACCTACTTCCCAAAAGTCAGGTACTGGAAACCCTATTGCGTGCAGTTCTGCTCTGTCACACAGGGGTCACCCAAGTCAGAGTCCACTTGACATCGATCGCTGTTTGTTTGTTTGTTTGTTGCTGTCGCTCGTCCATATAGCGTCTCAATTCAGTTCAATGTAATATATTCCGAAAAAATCAATAACGTACCTGCATCTTTGACATGTTGTGATTCCTGTTGGATATTGTGTAGTTTTTGTTCCTTCTCTGAATGATCTCTGTTTTCAGGATGTTCTCTGCTTGACTGTAGTGGGAGGTAGAAAAGCGAATGCTATTTTTTCCTTTATAATATTAGTTGACTGTTTTATTTATTTCTATGGCTGAACCATATCAGATAAAGCTGATTGTGGAGCAGGGAACTTTCTAGTGCCAGGTGGATGGAAATCATATGAGGAACATGTAATCCCACTCCCAAGGTAACTAACAGATTGCGCCTCTGATACCAGACACTCCACAGTGATGCCAGAAGAGTCCTAGTGAAAGTAAAGACTTTGACTACCCTCCAGTGTGAAGGATGTCGCATATCCCTGTAGTGTCTAGGGAGGCCAGTGTGAGCTGGAGCTCCCATCGAAGCTCAGCAGGAACAAGTAGCTCCCTTACACGTGGATGTCAGTGAGGCCAAATGGAATACCTGGGCTTCTGTCCCAACTAAGCTTAATGAAGCATTGCCCCCTAACCTCCCCTGCTAACATGTTCAGAGAAAGGCAGCTAAAATAGAAAAATTAAATAAAATCCAGAGTCTTTTAATATACTATTCAAAATGCCCTAATCCCATCTGAAAATCACTCTTCATACCAAAAAATAAGGAAGAAAGCAAAAGAAGAAGATAATATTTGCAAACACTGGGATGACAGAGATTATTAGAGTTTTCTGACAATTTAAAAGTAGCCATGACCAAAAGAAAAAAGAAAAAGTTTCAATGAGCAGTTACGAATAATTCTTAAACAATTGAAAGCAGAAGATTTAAGCTAATAAATAGGAAGTAGAAACAGAAGGGCTGAGGAAATAAATAGAAGATATAAAAACATTGAAAATTTTAGAAATGGAAACTACTATGACTGAAATGAAAATTTAGGGTGGGTTCAATGACAGAATGAAGGAGCAATAATGTTTTAATAGAATATTAGCAAATAGAATTCACCGATATATACAATGCACCATGACAAACGTGATTCATTCCAGGAATGCAAGGTTGGTTCAATATTTTAAAATCAATGCAATTGCCTTAGTATCAACCAGTCAATATGTTGCCCATATTAAACAGC